GTCCGAGTCGAAAATTGACCCGGCCGTAACCCACCGCAGGTAGCTTGTGCAAGGGAATCGACACGCCGTCAATGAGTAGGCTCAGTCAAATAGGGACATTTGTTCATTTTCATCATGTCGCGAGTAGTGCGAGATCGAGTAGGCCGTACTTAGTCACCGTCGGCAGGGATATATGGGAGTGATTAGGCCACGTGGCCGTTCCCGATCCCAGCCGGCAGAGGAGACGAGGCCGCACGGCGATTGAGCACAAAGCCTGCACGGTTTGTGTTGAAACAAAAGAGTCGAACGATTTGGCCATGAAAGCTGTCATGCGACTGTGCGTGACACTGTTCTGTCCGGATCCGGAAGACGGTTCTGGCTATGAGTGAAAAAGGGGCCTTCGTATGTAATGCAATCGATCCTGATTCGTTCGGGCTCAGCCTACCTGCGCCCAACTTTCACCCTGATTCGATCTCAAGAACATTCGCGTATTCATGACGGTGTAAAATACACAGTACATGACGTATCACACTGTCCGACAGATACGTACCCGTTGTTAGCATCGCTTGACATGATGCAGTTTCAATGTTGTTCGAAGTGCTGGCACCATGCCAACAAATCAAAGCGGTTGAGGGGGTGTACATGGTCAGAAACGTCAGATGGGTGAATGATCCGTTCCATCCCGAGTGAACATACACAATTAAAAAGCCATTAGACTCAGAAGGATGTTCTCTTCTCAAGCCGTAGCCATGTTGTAATTTGATCATGAACGTCGGTTCGGAGCCGTGACCGGCTAAGTCGACAAGTGTTCTATGACACTAGCTCGCTTCTCGAAAGCTAGATGCAAGAACTTACCTACTGCATAATTTTCCTGCAACTTAAGGAAAGCTTTCATATTCCTATCTCCCCTGTTTTCGAATAGGTAATGGAAAAGCAACCGAAGTTGACTATAAGCGGGGCAATCAAAGACTAAGTGTCCTTCCGACTCTACTCCGCCCTTATCGCAAGCTTGGTAGATCCGCTCGCTATGCTCTTTCGTTTGCCAACTTCCTGTTTCTATTGCCATATGGGCCCTAAAGCCTTTCATGGCATACAGACTACAGATCAACGTTTTTCATTGTGTCTCGATCGGACTCAATGCCTAGCTACCCTATCGAGTCCGAGAGACTGCCATGTTGTTTTCTCGTTGGCAGACATCGGAATCAAGTGTGGCGCGGCCTCACTGGCCCTAGCTTCCAAAACAACGTGACGTTCCTATCGTGATACCCGACTAGGACATTCTGAATGATCATGGTATAGAAACATCGAGTGGGGCTGTTGAAGAATCAGTGGTGGTGTACTTACAGTTTATGCTTAACCTAAGTTCTCTTCGAAGTTCCGTAGCCTATCGACTGAAATTTTGTGCAAGACTTCTGCCTCTTTATACAGAAGAATGTCCCACTTGTTCAAACCGGTTAAGTACTCGTGTACTTTGTCCGGGATGTCGGATGTTGCTCGAATAGCAACCGTTACGTTGCTATAGATCGTTGGATTGAACACAGTGGTCGCAATCTGTGGCTCTTTGATCTTTAAATTGAATATTCGAGCGACCAACGAAGCTAGGGGATAGACTTGGTGTAACTGCTCGGTTACAAACACCAAAGCGAAGGTGTTGCGCAAATGAGATAGTGCACACCGATAGTGCACCTCTGTGACCTCCTCGTCGCTTGTTGTAAATTGGCCCTTCGGTCCCACGTTATAGCGTCCCCGTGTTCCCTCATTACAAAGAAGGCGAGTCTGATGGTTGCTCTTTATGAACCACAAGAAGCTAGGCTCTAACATGAGTTTCTCCCACGTTGTCCCGTTCAAAGCATGAGGGGCATTTCTCAAGAAGTGGTTGACATGACTCACAGTGCGAGTAACGGGTTCCCTCAACTGGGTTAAATAAGCAAAGAAGCCCTTGTGCCCAATCCGGTGAATGCCATAGGCAACATGCCCACTGATAATTCGGGCACCACGGAAGGTTGTGCGCACTCGATCCTGCTCGCCATGGTCTAACTTGTAGACACGGCTCTCATAATCAGGGGACCCTATGAAGGGAAGACAGTCCGGCTGCATCCATCTTGGGCTGCACAGGGAACATCGAAGAATTGGTGAATGTTGCAACGATCTTGCTTTCTGGATAAGTGCTCTAATGCTTACACACAGCATCAAACAATGTTGCCTCCTTATTGCCTCTCACGTTGATTTCTAGAGAAGGAAACCTGGGCCACATTGCATAGCGACGTGCCAGGAGTTGCCTTGCAGTGGTAACCGAAGTGCTAACTTGGCAGCTGTGAGACCCTGAAGAAGCAAAAAGGTAGATGTAACTAATGTACTCACTCGTCCCATCCCCGCATGTCCAAGCATGTGGTGTCAAAGACGGCCTCGTGCAGCAATTTGTAGAGCCTATTGCAGCGTTGTGATGGTTCGCTGGGGAATTGTAGTTCCTTTTGCAGGTGCGGGCTGCATTCTTCCGGGCTTCGTGTGGAGAAGATTGCTTGTAATCCAGTGCTGCCGGTCTTCATGATGCGCAAGACAACGAGAGTTGCTCGATTCTCTTTAAATGCTCGATGTACGATCTCAAGAGGTATCATACCGTCCCGGTCATTGACACCCTGCAGCAAGAGCCTGGGAGGGGCTCCTTCTTCCAAAGAAGTGCCAAAACTGTGAGAAGAAAGCCATCGTCTTGGTTATGAGAGGAACAGGTGAAAGAAAAAGAGTAATCATATATCTTGCCTCCAGGAAGAAAGAAGGTAGCTTTCTGGTTCTTTTCTAAGAAAGAGTTCTTTATTGACCCCAGATAAGGGGCCTGACCTGTTTGTTTGCAACCAACAAGAACAAAGACTACACCTTTCGGAAGGGAAGAACCAAGCAGACTGGGAATTTTGTTAGCTCCGTGTCATGTCTCCTTCCAGCATACTACAGTCACCAAGTGTCCTCTGATTTTCAATAACTTTGTACATGATCCTGTCACCCTTGTGTTGCTCTTTCAGCTGGAGAGGTCAAGCAATTTTACAGCAGCCTCTGCAATCTATTCAAGTATTATTAATCTAGCAGATACAGCACTCCGGTGAACACAACGCAAGCAAGCACCAATAAGAAACCGGCCAGCCTTGTTTGAGGCAGACAAATGCTGCTGACCTGTGTGGGTAACACCTCATCTGATGCGAGAGTTGCCCGTTGCTCCACCCAATCACAGCACTCAAAACGAATCCTATCACAAGGGCGAGCACTGCTAAGAGCTTCCTGGGGATGCTACTGCTGTTCATTGTCGACTTGGACCGAATCATTGGCCCTTATCTTTCTGCGCTCGGCTAGCTCAGCTGGCTAGAGTGCAGGTCGATACAACTGCCATGTGCCTTCCACTTGTGGTCGGCCCGAAGGTCCGCGGGTCAAATCCCATAGTTTGCAACTTTCTCTGGATGGAGGGGTTGGCCTGCCTCCTTCCGGAAAATTTCTGTGGATCTGGCTAAAGGTCCTTCGAGTATGCCTGGCTGCGGAGAAAATCTTCGCTAGCGGGCGCAGAAAGATAACCCGAAGTCACCACTTGAATATATTATTATTAAAGGCTTTTGATCCACACAGCAGCGCAAATCCTGCTTTTTCGAGAAGCTCGGTCCTGTTGATGGCGTCTCCTGATATGTAATATTGCGCAGATATCAGAGTCTTCCAGGCGTTCCATTCATGGACGCGAGTAGGATAGACACGGTAATACCTACCGGTACATGGGTTTGCTGGGAAGTTTGTATAGCAACTTTTTCCGACGGCACGGATACAGTTAATAA